ATAGAAAAATAATGAATATTCCTTAATAAATTACAAAAATTAGGGGAAATTCGGGCTAACAAGTATATATTTTACTAAAATTATTCATCTCAGTTTGAAAGTGTTAACTGATAGAGTTTATGTGGTTTTATCTTTTAATGCCAAAAGATGAATAGATAATACTTTTAAATATTAATGGGCATAACATGATGGGCAACAGACATTTTTAATCATTAAATTCGAGGAACAACATGATGACCTGGGCATGACCTTTCCACTCGAGTAAGACGGTCGAATTATATTGTTTATATTTTTTATTTATGTAAGTTTAGATGAATGCAATTGTTCTGGATCCGGTTGCACGAATGTTAGTTAAATTTAACTGGCCGTTAACTTTGCGTTAACCCGACGTTAAATTTAACCGGTTGCACAAAAGTTACATTTGTAACTACAAGTTAAAGCTTAATTAATTTTCTGATTTAATTAACAGATTTAACTGAGGTTACCTAGGTACATTTAATATTTAATAAAGCATTAAAATCAAAATCGCGGACTTGTTATCATTTCAAAACTTGTTAAAGTGGAAGGAAGAACTTATACAAAGATAATAGAAATGTCTGATTTGAGCAACGTGCAAATTTTATCCCGATTTCGATTTAGGCAAGACTGTATTATACATGTATATATTGCGAATATATGTTGCGATATTATCTGCAAAAAACAACAAGACGAAATCATTCCATATGAGTGGATATATTTATACTTTTTTTGTATCCGATTATGCATACAATATATGCCATTATATTTTATCGAAATGATCGTCATTTTAAAAATATTTTAACGTCAGACAATTAACCGAAAAGTAGGTTAATCGTTCAATTCAAACTTAAGGCACGTAAAACAGGGCGGGGGGGGGGGGGGTGTTCCTCTCCCACTTTTGAGAGATTTATTTTTTATTATTTTCAATTTCCCCTCCCAAAAACCAATGCCTCGTGTTAGAGCTTTTAATACAGAATACTTACTTTGTAATTGCATTGTTTATACTTTCAATGTAAAAATTCATATTTCAAGTAACTATCTTTAATAATACATTTAATATATTTTACTAATGTAAAATTAATATTTATAGTAAATAACCTTAGCAAATTTAAAACATTTATGAATTGACGTAATTTTGATTATGACGTCAGAAATTTTCCACCATAGGTAAGGCAAATGCGCGTGTAGACCGATTTTAACAGAGAGTTAACTATAAGACATCAATTAAATGTGAGTTAGCTAATTTATTTTTAATAGACTTTCGATCAACACTTTTTTAACTGACAGTTATGTAACTCGTCGTTAAAATTTTAACAGCTAGTTACAACACTAACTGGAAGTTAATTTAACTTACGTTCGTGCAACCGGATCCTGAACGAGACACGTCTTGGAAAGCGATTGTCCTGAATTTGTCCATGCATTGTTTTTAAAACAGTTCAAAGTTGAAAACTACCACTGCAACAAAGTGCAATTTTTTAGGTTTGGGGAAAAAAATGCTCATTATTTCTGAAATAGCACCCAGGTTTTTTCAATCCTTGGAAAGTGATGAAGGAAAACTTTTGCGTTCGGATCTTTTAATTAAAAAAATTTAAATGCATCTTATATTTTCCATATATATATATATATATATATATATATATATATATATATATATATATATATATATATATATATATATATATATATATATATATATATATATATATATATTTGTTTATTTCTCTTTCCTAACATATTAAGATACATTCTAATTGTAGACTTTCATGAAATCATTTGAGTATCATATGTGGCGAATCATATGTGGATCACATGAAAACGCATATGTAAAGCATATGGAGCAATATACATATGATACACAAATGAAAGGTTTGCATATGAGAATCATATGCATACTTTGAGGATGATCATATGAGAATCATATGAAACAGATCTGTTTATTTATTTGTCCTTGTTATAAACAGGTAAAATTCATTTCATTTTAATTCAATGAGATAAAAAAATATTTTATTCAATGTTAATCAGTTAACACTTGAATAATTTTATATCATATATAATTCTTGTCAATTTGTTTTTATATTCACTTTATATTAGTTAACTCCAACTTATTATATTAACAGTGTTGTCAACGAGTGCCCGGTTAACCGGTTAATCATCGAACGATGCGAGTATCGGTTAGTAACTACTACTCGGCTACTCGGATAGACATTTATATAGTAAATCAGTTGGAAAAAAAATGTAATTTTGTTTATAAATGTCCCCAATTTTATTTACCACTAGATCTATTTAAAGTAAGACCTAGCGTTTTGCCAATACGATTCATTTGTTTTGAATAGTTTTTCACAGTTTATATAACTGATGGATTTGATTGCCAAGGTGTATGTATACAAGTTTTTGAAGACGGGGGTAATTATAATTACCTCAAATAAACCTGTGTGAGCTAGTCTGCAATACAACATTTAAGACGATACCGCCACATTGAAATATTTTAAAAGAATCCGTGAGGTGTTATTTACGTAAAATGGAATTAACATATAGGTGGAACAACAAATATGCTAAACCACTGCAGACTGAAATTTAACTCTGAATCCAGCGATATATGAAGGACGTCCGCAAAACAGAAAAATATTATGGGGTGTTTGAGAACAAATTAGTGTGTGCTTGTAATTATAAATAAAATTCACATGCAGTGCATTTCTGTTTTACAAATGATAAGATAAATATAGAAATTGTAATGACTATGATGACGTTACATATTTTATATTTTATGTAATCATTCACGCCACATATTATGTAATCAATGTTTACTTATCAATCATATTCATAATTCGGCTTCATTTTGTTGTGATTTTTTGAGACAGATAATAGTAGCAAATTAATAATTTTATGGATTTCTTTACCAATTATTACGTAATTAATTACAATTATTTTCAATAATTAAAGTCACATTAGTGGCAAAGTGCAACATACCTAAGTGTTTTGTCGTTTATTAAAATGGAGAGTGAAGGCGGGTTCTTGAAATGCTGCGATATAACAATAACTGTGAGTTGGGTCCGTGACAGTAAACAGAAATGTTAGAGAATTAGAAGTTTCATAAATGAGCTATTTTATTAAAAGGAATTCGCATTGGCAATTGTACATAAAATGTACAGTTACAAATATGTGTATATATATCAAGGATATTTAGAGGTCTAAAGAAAAACATCCGAGTAATCGGTTACTCGATCGGAAAAGTAAGCGAGTAACCGATTACTAAAAATCGTCCGATTTGAGAACACTTAATATTAAGCTTTTGAAAAAAAAATTATACATTATAAATTATATATTATATTTTTGTATTTCTCATTAAAATAATAAAAAAAATTAAGATTATAGCTTAACATACTGAACGGGGGGATATTTCAAATCCTCCTAATTTGGGTAAATAAATATGTAGAAGTTTCGTTTGGTATCACATACCATCTTAATTTTCTCCAATGCACCATTACCTTTATTTTGATATGGAAAAAACTTAAGTAGGCCTTATTTACTGAAGACACTTTTTAGGACATATACTAAGATTTTTTTTAAATTCAACCCATACCGCTGGTCCGTTTTTTTTAAAATCTCTAGCTTTATTTACATTTCAGTTGCATCTTTGGGATATCAATCTCAGTCATGTGACAACATCAGTTAATGACTTTTTGAATCTTTTGAAGATATTTCTCTAATTTTTGGTATTTTCACATCCAATTGTTGCAGATATGGATAATGTCTTAGGTACAAGTGTTATCAAGCAATACAAAATGAAACTATTTTTATTACCTAAGTAGCAAAAAATACAGGATGTTTACATATGTCTGAGGTCACAGTAGCCGTACTAACCTCTATAGGACTGATACAAATCCTGCAGAGAAGATATGGATCTGCAGGGCTGATACAGATATGAGTATGTAACACATCCCTTGCGGAGAGTTTATGTCTCCCAATTGATTCGATATGCAAGAGCATGTTCTACGTATGAACAATTTCTAAAAGCAGGCAAGCTATTGACGAAGAAGTTGATAATACAGGAATATCAGCAGTCTCGTTTAAAGTCAACATCTCACAAATTCTATAATCGATGCAATGACCTTGTTAGCAAAGACAATCTATCGTTAAGTCGAATGTTGACTGACGTTTTCATTCCAATAGATAGGTCACAATTCTCAAACTGAATTGTCTACATTTTTTTCCGTTTACCTGATCATGACAAGGAGCACACGGGGTGTTAGCCGATCGAGAGGAGTTGCTTACTTATTCTTGGCTCCTGATATCACCTCTGATATTTTGAAAGGTCCATGTCAATGGAACTTTTTCAGTTTGATTTTGTCAATACATTCATATTTCATTCAACATTAAAAAACAGTGTTTGTAAAAGCAACCCTCTGTTTGCACATATTCTCTGTAAAATTTGCTGTATTTTATTTAAAACTACTTTTATTTGCTATAATAAGCTAACTGAAGATCATTTTATTGCACTTGCAGAATTAGATGTAGCCTTTTTCTTATCACTCAGTATGTAATAAACATGATAATACACATCCTTTTCCATATCACACCATTTATATATAGCCATTGACCAGCATCAACCCTCCGGCCTGCTGATATTGGTGTCTCGGACTGATAAAGTGTGTGATATGGAAAAAGGGTATTATTATTCTTTCTGCATCTATGCACAGTCAGCATTTTTTCATCAGTATATATAATGATTTATATTGTTTTGTCACATACCTACACAATCATCTTTCTTGCTGACATCATTTAATTGAATCATCTAAGGTCTTGTCCAAAAAAACATTTTGTTATGAATCATAATACCAGTCATTTATTATAATACAGCACAAAATCAGACACTGAACAAATAACACATGGCGTACTGCATTCTTAATAAGTGTTTATTTTGAGTGTCGATTTAATCGCAAGGATACAAAAGAGAACTAGCAAAATAATTCAGAAAAACGCCTTTATCCTACAACAGGGTTGTGTCTTGCAATTGGTGATAAAAGGTAACCAGAAAAGGTACAATAAATATTATCACTGCCTCCATAAAGAAAGGACCCACGGTGTTGAATATCCAGATACACAGTATCTCCCACATCCAACTCGAGGGCAGCAGAGTTACTTCCAGAGCCATAACCTCCGGAAGTATGGGCATACAGAGAGTTGACGTAAATGTAGTTATGGTACAGCTCCACCCACTCTGCTTTGTCATTCTGCGTTAGGGCGTGGTAATGAAAGACATAGATACCGGCAACAGGGGCCGTGAACACCCCAGTGTTTGCGTTGAAGCTTAGTCCGTGATTGAGGAAAACCCTATCAAATATCATTTTCGAGGAATCTGAAGAAGCCTCATTATGGGTAAGACCGGCGGAGAAAGCTATTTCCTGCTGTGTTGCCTGACCTAATTGAAGGATGAGAAGCATTTTTGCATATATAATCTAGATCATAACTTTTCAAAATACTTTTAAAAAACACGTCAGTAGCACAAATCTGCCCTGTTTATTTCATTGTTTTTGTATATCTAATGTAGTTTTAACTTAAAGCACTGAATAGATTACTGTTTTAAATTTTTTTAAAGTTCTTGAAATTTTGTTGAAATAGGATGTAGATGAAAATCTTCCTAAATTTGAAAATACTTTGCAATATATAGATTGATTGAAAAAGAAACATTATATGGTGTAAAGACATTCTCAATTCCAATTCATGAAAGCAAAGAAAATTACCACTGTTTTTGTAAATAGTTGGTGACAAAAGCGCTCCGCAGAATGTCGTGTAAAATTCATCAGAGGCTCCATAAAGTCTGGTGTTCGTACCAGGCCTAGATTTGGTTTTTACCATGTCTCCTTTTTTAAGGTGGAGAATAGCCGTGTTGCCTGCGTCAGCGTAACATCCATCGGTATATCCGTAAGATGAGATTACGTTATGTTCATTGTGGAAAAGCTCCAGCCAGAATTTCTGTCCAAGAAAAAGATTAAGTGTTTTTTTTTAAATCGTTGGTGGTCATTCCAAATGCAATACTCTTTTAATAAAAGAATTTATAAAATGCTAACATTGTCCTCAAGAGCCAGTGCGTGGAAGTGAAACAAGTACGTTCCCTCAAAAGGGGCGGTAAATGTTCCGGTTGTTGTGTTGTAGGCACTGCCGATATTTGTAATGGCTTTGTCGTAAATCACCGTTGATCCATCATTGATATAAGCGTGTTTGGTCATGATAGCTGAGAATCCCACAGGACCATTGAAGTTCTCAACATCTAGTTCTAGAGCATTATGAGTGAAAGTCATATTCCATATTTAGAACGATCAAATAATATACAGAGGATATTCAATGTTTTGTAGTATATATAAGGAATTTATTTCACGATGGGACAGGATTGTTTTTGACATTTATCACAAAATCCTGGTTCATGAGTGAAATAAATTCCATATTCAACTACAAAAGATTGAATTTTGTGCTTATTACATTTTCTTTCATTTTCTACTTAACTCTGTCTTTTCGTACCAGTGCCATAGACTGTGGCGTCATAGTTTAGCGGTTGGAGAAGCTTTGGCAGTTTTAGTCTTTGTCAGAATGATTTATTTTCTCTATCTTATAATGGTCAGGAAATATTTTTTGCAATTTTGTTTTCGTGAAGGGAAGAAAATTCGAGAGTTTTGCCTCATTTCTGATATTTTCTCACACTGTGATAGAAAATCATTTTGATATCTTTTCACGCTGTAACAAGATATCATATTTATTCAATAAATGAATTACAGTATTTCACTGTTGAAAATATAATAATACGATTTATTTTAACTACATTTAAAATTTATAGTTGATGAATAAACAAGTGTAATCAATACAAAGTAATGTGTGCAAATGGAAATATCAAATATATAAAATGAATTGTTTCACAAACATTATCTTTAAAAATGGCAGTAAACACTAGTATCCAAATAGAAAGCTATATCATAGTTTAATTTCTACATGATTGTACATGTAATATAAAGTCCCAGATTTTAAATAAATTTTAATATTTTAAAAATTGGCACTAACCCAAATTGTCTGCAAACAAGAGTTCCCCAGTTAATGTGGTGTAAATCTGATCTATTTTTCCAAACAGTGCATGATTATAATTATCGTGGGCTTTCACGTACACCTTGTCACCGGTATTTAAATGTACTATTGCAGCATTTCCAGCGTCAGCATAATCATTTATAGTATGACCAAAGACTGCAAAAGAGAAATTTTGACGTATAGTTCTTTTCGATAAAAATTATTATTGTGTGCAGATTTGATGTAACTTACTTGATGCAATTAACTGATCATTCTTCATCATTTCAAGCCAAAGTTTAGAATCCTCTGTAGTGAGGCCATAGAATGTGAAAGCATAAAGACCGGGGGTCTGGCAGACAAAGGATCCCTCTGAATCAAAGCTTGCTCCGATCTCTGTTATCCTTTTATTATAGGGAATTTTTTCACCTTTCGACACATGGACATCTATTGTTTGTCCTTTTGTAAAGGCTATTGGAGCCTGGTTGTTTCCGACAGGACTTTGTGTTTGGATCACTGAAAGATGATATCTATTGTTATCAGAAGTAGCAAGTAAACAAAGGAATAAAGTATACGACAAAAATCTTGTATTGATGTATGTATTTTATATTTGAGATCCAATTTTAAATTCATGATATAAATTTTAACCTATTGCTAAAACAGATAATATACAAATCCACGTTGCAAACATCTTGCTTCCTGCAAAGTAAAACAGAATTAAAGTAATGTTGAAGACATTGTTTTATTTTAAAAAAGTGTGATAGCGAAAAGATCTTTGACATTTAAGAAATATATGTATGAAAGTTTTCATATTTTGTGAACATAAGAGGAATGCTCATTTTAATGATGTGAAGCTGATATTAAGGAACTTCGAAATCTGAGTATGAAGAGACTTTAAAATTGCCATAAGAAAAATTGACTCTCTTGCTTTGACTAAAAAAAATTAATGTAATGTGATTGTTAAATAGTATCACTTGGATATCAATAAAATGATCTCATATGTCATTTTATGATTGAAGTGATCTCTTCCAATATTCTTGTTTCTCAGCATTGATCATATGTTAAAATAAAAAATATGTCTGAATATTAAGGCCTTGAATATAGAAATTGCACTTACAACAGATAAAAAACAAACTGCTGCATCAAAATTGAAAAATAAAATAGTAGGATTTCACAATCCACATAATAATTTAATGAATTAGAGTCAATACTTACTGTTCAATTTGTCTTATGAGGAGTGACTCTTGATACTTGATAAGACCTGAGGTTATTTGTGTCATTTAAACAGATGTTTTGTATAGCTCTCCAAGGTGTGCATGGTAAATGTAATGAATTATCATTTCTACAAGTTTTACTTTATTTATTGTAATACACATAAAATTAGGTTAGACCAAAGCAAAACAAACGAATGCAATTATCTAATTTTGAATAGCCAAAATAAAAGCTTTATTTCTTCTCCTTAAAATATATGTTATATTTTTCTCCCTTGAGAGCCCCGGTTCTTTACCTATACCTCCTGTTGGATGCCTTTTAACGTTCTACTATAGATTATAGAGATATTATCCATTACTTTGAGCTTTTGTTATACATGGAATCAAACAAACGATTCGAACGAACACTTAAGCCTTTATGAATTTTATATAGTTTATATGGTAAACAAGGATATCTACAATTTCGTTTGGAGTCAACATTTCGTAAATTCTACGGTCGAAAATATGACCTTGTTTGCAAATACAATCTGTTAGGTCGAATGTTGACTGATCAATCTCTTTCAAAAAATTAGTAGGTCATGATTTTCTTACTGTATTGTCTTCGTAATTCTCCGTTTACCCAATCATGACAAAAAGCACAGGATAAGTGTGACCGGCCAACAGGAGATGCTCACTACTCCATGGCACCTAATCCTACCTCTGATGTTTTTAGAGATTTATATTGTTTCAATGGACTTTTGCTTGTTGTTCGTTATCTTCATATTTCAAGAAAAGCTTCTGGAGCTGTTGGAATGACAAACATTGCCGTCTGATATAATAGAAAGCTTTATGTTTATTGGCTATAGTTTCATAGATAATGTTACGTGTCTCACACACTTCGAGAATTTTGTAGAACATTGCTGCCATGAAGTTTAGAATAGATATGGATAGGTTAAATTGTCCATGTTTATCTCGATTCCAAACAAGGTGCATTCATACATTGTGCTCCAGCCATAAAAGTTAATGTAGTTCATAATCCCAGAGCTAGACTAGCCATAGTCTCATTGAGTGACAGTTACCTTCAAACTAAGCTTAAGAAATGTTGCAAACCATGCATCAATATAATACTGACCCGTAATATTAGTTGATATGGATCTGTATATTACTATTGTCAATGGATTCGAAAGACAATTCATTGGTCAATTATACTGTTGTTTCTTTTAATGGTTATACTTTATTTTTGACTTTTGCATTTCAATTGTTTTGTACCATTTATTCTTAATTTCATATTTGTGATGTTTTACTTATATAATAATTTGATTAACGTATTTATTTTTTGCAAATACCTCATTTTATCATCATGTTATCAATGTTTCATATTTAATCAAAGTAATATTGCAAATCTAAAAAGATGTATATATATGCATATTCAACTGATTAGTGTACTTTCGAAGACTTTAGATAACTAAAGTAAGAATTTAAGGTTATCTTTAATAAATTAACGGATGCAAACTTTTTTTAAAATGACGTTTTCACAACCAAATACTTTACATTTCAAATGACTGCCATAAGAAAAACTAATGAGTCGGAAGGATATTGGAAACGATCCTGGTAAATTATAATATTTACATTTGCTGTTTTTTTTTTAACTAAACCAACTATTAAATTGACTTGAATGCCATTTTCTTGATTACTCACGCCCGATACACGAATAACCCTTCACGCTTCTATAAGTTTAACATGAGCGATCACGATCGATAACACAAGTGCATGATTGTTCACGCAAAATGGTAAAAGATATTTAGGAATGTACATTTTCGAAACGAAATGAAAATTATTAATTGAGATTGCTAGGGCGCTTCATGAAATATGCCTAGATGACAAATCTGACAAGTCCTAAAGACCATGATATAACCTAACTTAAATCAAACATCTTACGGAGGCTGCACTAATTCTATTTTCTGAAAGAATGTTTCAAAAATGAAATCCTTATAATCTGTATTAATTTACTTTTTAAAAAATTGATCCCATATTTTGGCTCCATCTTACCCTGAGGGGCATAATTTGAACAAATTGAATCAACACTAACTGTTTGCATACATTTATCACTAGTCAAGGCCCTGTTCATGACAACAAATTTTAAAGCATTTGATATTTTGGATACTTGAAGTAAACATCTAAAAACTCAAAATGTAAAAAGTATTTTGGATATTTAAAATTTGAATGTTTGAATCAAAATTCTTAATTTCAAAAACTCTAAAACGTTTGAAAGTTGAAATTAAGAAGTTTGATAAATGGTACTGAATTTTATATTGTTAAGCGTAAGCTTTCTGAACAAACGGTAGATTAAAAACTCAAAAGTTAAAAAATACAAAAATCGATTTTGGAAATTTGAATTTTGAATATTTAAGGTAACAATCTAAAAAATAAAATAAAAATTTAAAACCTGTTTGGAAATTCGAAAATTAAGATTTTTGAACTAAAATATTAAATTTCAATATACGAAATCAGTTTGCGTTTTTGAAATTTAGAAATTTGAACTAATATATTTAAATTCTAAAACTTTTAATAATTTTAGAAATTTGAATTGTTAAGTGTTACACGGGCCGTCCCAGAATCAACATTCTACAAGCCGATGAGAAAATTTCCAAAGTGGAGGAAAAAATCGTCGACTTTAAAAAAAACAATCCTATCCCTTCGAAGGATTGTGACCGTTCACGGCAGCTCGGTTGGTAGAGCGCTCGCTCCGTAATCGGGAGGTCGTGAGTTCGAGTCTCGGCCGCGACTGACCTAAGTCGATAAAAAATGGTAGCAACTATTCCTTCGCCATGCGCTCGGCACTTTGAAGTAAAAGTTACGGGTCCTTCGGATGAGACCTTAAAACACCGAGGCCCCGTGTAACGGCAGGCGTTGGCACGATAAAGATCCCTTACTGCTCAATAGCCCTGAGTGCCGAGTAAAGGTCAAAATTTGAAGCCCTTCACAGGTATATGGTGATGTCTCTATATAAGTGAAAAATTCTCCAATGGGACGTAATACAACATACAATCAATCAATCGAAGGATTGTGCAAATGTCATTTTCCAACAATGAAAACTATGATTGATTGATTGATTGTATTTTGTTTAACGTCCCTCTCGAGAATTTTTCACTCATATGGAGACGCCACCATTTGCCGGTGGAGAGCTGCAAATTTTGTCCTATACTCGGCACTTACGGCCATTGAGCGGTGAGGGATCTTTTTCATGCCAGCACCTACTGCGACAAGGGACCTCGGTTTATACGATCTCATCCGAAGGACCGGTCTCCACGTCCCACAGTGGGATTCAAACCCGCGACGTATGGATCAACTCCTTACTTCGCGACTCTAGAGCAGACGCTCTAACCACTCCGCCACGCGAGCGACTGAAAACTATGGAGATAACAAACAGTATTCAAGCTCAAAAGTCCATTAAACAATACAAATTTGGAGCAGAGCAAACACGGATCTCTAAAACATCAGAAGTGGAATCAGGTGCCAAAAGCTTCCGCTGCCGACCAGTCACACCCGCCGTGTGCTCCTTGTCATGATCGGGAAATAAGGAAAAAAATCCGACGACAATTCAGTGTGTAAATAATGGCCTAACAAACGTCAGTCAGCATTTGACTTAATGATAAATCGTATTTGCTGACAAGGTCATTGTATGGACTATTGAACTTACGGAATGACGACTTTAAACGAGACTGCTGATATTCTGTTTCATCAACTTGTTTGTCAATTACTTACCTCGTTTAAAAATTGTTCATACGTAAAGCATGCTCTTGCGTATCGAATCCACTGAGAGATATAAACCCCGTATGAAGGTGATGAAGGTATATTGTTGCATAAGTAAGGGAAGCTGACGGATGAAAAGTTGAAGTCATCACGTTAATCATAAAGCTTTGTTCTTAGGTTACCATTAACGTCTTTTTCTAGTAAAATATCCAAATATGAAACAGATGTGTCAGACTCTGAGGTATCTTTTATTTTCAAGCTCACCAGGATATATCGTATCGACATAAGAATGGAAATAATCATTGTTAATTGACAATACGTCTTCGATATTTCTAAATGTCGATTTGAAGGCCACAGCAAGTGTTTTCGTCTTTTCATGTATAAGATTTTGAACCTATTCTGCTTCATATGAATACAAAAATAGGTCTGCTAATAACAGGGCGCAATTGGTACCCATGGAAATTTCATGATTGTATGAAGACCTGGTCTTCAAAAACCTACATAGATATTGTCAATCAGAAACTCGAACATCTTTTTAATATCAACTTCAGAGTATGTGTACAA